TATTGAACCTAACCAGCACGAAAAATGTCCGCGGTACCGAAGGTGCTACTGTAAAACATACATAGAATGACAGTTTCGTAATTATATAAGTAACGATACGCCCACGAATCTCTCGTCAGGTACCTTATATCTGTATTAAAAGACTTCACTTAATGGATGGGGTGGAAATTGTAAAGTGTCCGTTTCATTTCATCATCGGTATCATTTACACTACATAGACAACAGTCGGTACATCTCCAGTTACACTATAATTTACCGGGAAGTGGTGGTACGGTAATCGCCTTTCGGAATCCGAAAAACGTAAAAGAGGGGCGGGTTTTATTTTGTATTACCGTCGGGTGGTTCACAGAATTCGGGTATAGCATTGGAGGTCTACAGTATTTATAGCAGTAGTCGGTAGTAATTTCATTTAGTACTTTCGACTACGGAAGTAGGTCTCCTCCTGTATTACTCCTGTACCCTCCACCCGGTCTATTACCTTTGTGTTCTCCCTTTGCGAAGTCTTAACTTTCTGTACATTTACGGTCAGAGACCGTGAGGTCTCTAAGGTAAATCTCACACCTTGTGTAGTGTATTAACATTCGAGTAGGATTAGTTTACAAGGCATAGGTCTGTGTGTACCCATACGTCACTTGTAGTTATTGGTCTTGGTTTCTACGTCGTTCTTCCGTTAGTTACTACCTGCGAGCGTTAAAGAAGGTGCTACTTATTAGGGATAGGTTAACGTCCGATTAAACTATTTGATTTAAATCAAATACCACGATAGTTGTTAGACGCAGCAGGCACCCATCAAGGAACATCTGACTAGTCCCGCGGGTAACTCATCGGACCTTTCCGGTTCGACGGTTCCTCTCGACAACAACTCACCTCCGACAAATGTCCTTGTGGTTACTCACTTTTGGGACTACTTGTAGATAGAATTTTATTTTTTTTGATTTCATTTTCATCATTTTGATTGTTACATTTCTTTATAAGACAATATTCATTTTCAGGGTTGTTAAATTTAACAATGAACTCAGTCTCTATTTTTCATAATTGTTATTTTTACGTGGATCTCTTAGTTTTCCTTTTATTGAACAATACTTTTTCAGGGTTAAATTCTTATCTTTATCCGTGATATTAACTCTCAAACTGACATACTTGTATTAAACAGTAACGGATTCCAGCTGGATACTGTACACGGTAAAGATGCTAGTAATTAAGGTAACAACTCCTTTATGATTTATCTAAATCGTAACAAGTTACAAGGTGTTTGTGTAGATACATAAAGTTCGATTTTCACTATGTGTTATATTTGACATATGACATATCGAAAGTTCTCGTACATGAAAGTTTTCGTATATACGAAGCGATCAAAGTCCTGTTTGTTAATTTCTGACCGAATTAAATTCGTTTAAGATCGTTATTTCACCGTCTAAACGAATAATTTGTGTCTGGTCTGGATCCAACTTTATGCGTTGTGTTTAATTCTTGGTATCGAGTGTACGAATGATACAACCAGACTTCTCCCGACTTCCCGTTAAGTATGTGTTGCCTATTTTAGACATACGTAAAAGTACATCTTATCTCTGTTTTCCACTAATATAGATTAATGAATTCGACTTTAAATTGGGGTCTTCAATTCAGGGTTTCTTCAAAATTATTTTTAATGCAGTGTCGCATATGGAAGTTCGCTTTATATTTTTGTTGGCTGGCGCCCCACGTTATTGCGTAGTTTACCTTCCGCTGGGAGGATGGCGTGTGTTTGGTTGTGGACATTTATTGGGTTAAACACAAAAAACTTAACTTTTTCCTATAACGTAACACAAACATGAAGCAACGTCACACATACAGTTTTCACATTAACCCTTTACGAAAATAAACTTCCGCTCAAATGCGACAACTGTCCTTCCAAAACCAACTAACGATACCTTTCGTTTTTTTTTCAAAGTGTCGGCCCGGTCTTGGTACCCGTCTTGTTACAGTATTTTAAGGCGCTATTACTTTGGGTGGGTAAATCTCCCTTCAGAGTAAGTATGTGGGCAGCTACAGGAGTGATGACCCTACGCGGAGTAGTGGCCTCGTTTGTCTTCGTAGTTAGAGGTCATGCGCGTTAGGACTAACCGACCACTAGACTGCAGTGCAGTCCCTAGGGGGTGGGATATTCATCCGAACGCGGGTGCGCGTCGCAGGTAAGTTTTTGGGTGGAGAAGAGCCCTGAAATTTTTTTTATTTTCCTCGTTTTAGAGCTGTAATAGTCAATTCGGGGTCCCGATCGAATTGTCAGGTGTCTGACTTGCGGGTTTCGATTGAAGCCAGCTACCCGCGGGCGGCCGATCGCGGCTAAAATAACTGGATGGCCTATCTGCCTGTCAGCCTTCCATCTCGTGCACAAACTTATCTCGTGCCCTCATTGGTCATGTGCGCGTTCGTGTGTGTTGGAGGAGGGGCTCTGTAAGGAAGTCTGAAGGAAGGGGCAGATTTTTTTCGGCTGCGTACTTTCAAATTCGGGCGTTTCTCCATTCTTACCTACCCTACCTTTTTAATATCGTTAATATTTAAAACAAAAAATCCAAGCTATCTCCCCTGTTACACTTTATGCATTCCCGCCAACATTATAACTTTGTGGGTGCTACAGTTGTGATTGATAATGAATTGACTCCACCTTTGATGCTATATCTGTTTATATAAGCTCTCTTTACCTTAGACTGCAAATTCAGGGACTATTTAAAGAAGAGCAGACATAGGCTACTGTATTAATCCATTTGGCTGACCGTTTTATTGGAATGATTCCAGTAGGCCTACTACCGTAACGTTTGAAGGTTGAGTTGAAGATTTAATATAAGTATCAGGCTGTAAATCGGTATAGTGTTTTAAGATTAAGTAGAATAAACGTCAAATGTGATGCACTTAATTTTACATTACAATATTTGTTTGTTGATTATTCTAAACAGAAGACTTGAGACCAAAGACCATCTTCATTCATCTTTATTATCATAATTATCAGTCTGAAAAATAATGACTACATACAATACAGACATTTCACAGGAAAAGTATACAAATATATTGAGATGTGTTGCTGGTTGTATGACATAAGGTTAAACTCGGATGTTATTTTCACTGTACATGTAGGAGATATGAAAACACAATGGTAGCTGGGAGTAATTCCCAAGTTATATTCCCAACAGTGTTCTTGTTCTTAGTTGAGGTAAGGTTTAGTTCATCAGAACTACAAAAGAATAAAGCAAAATATAATACAACAGCGTCAATAACAGTGATCAACATTTGCTATCAACATATAGCTATCACTGATTTCAAACATGTCACAAAATGAAGATTGCTTTCTTCTTGGATTTCTATTAAACTATTAATATCACTCTTTATATGGGAAGGAAATAAAGTGTTGAACTATTTGTAGTTATCAAAGTACACAATCCATTAGAATGAAATAGTTTGTATTGAAGTTTGACTCAAGTACATGGCGTGATGAACATCTTTGTTGTTGTAATCCATGGTTTACATGCATTAAAGAAAGGCAAATGTTTGCTTGATTCATCCACAGAGAAACAAACCAGGGGAAGGAAACACTTAGTCCTTTCACTTCTGTCCATTAAAAGGGAGGCTGCCTTTCAGATCTTTTTTTTCTTATCGAACAAACTCGCATCAAGTTCCCTTTATGTTCCTTTTAGGACATCCTGGAATATTTCTAAGTGGACGGATAAGTTACATTGATTCCACTTTTAGAAATACTATCTTGTCTGTATTTTTTCATGTATTATTGTTAAGTTGTTGCTCACAACAGTAGTTCTTTACTGAGTGAAGGTTAGAAAAAGCTCTGTATCCATCCACCCTCCCATCCACAAAGCTATGTCAGTTAACAGGCTTGTTTGATTAAAGTATTGCAGTAATCCTACAGGGCTTGCATAGGCATGAGCTGGTGCCTTAGCCACTATATACTGTATGTGCCCTGTTGTACATTAGATTAGGACATTCCCCCTGAAGGTATCATTTCTGCTTTTATTGTAGCCACCTCAATTTATGTACACGAAGGGAGAGCGTGTCTCCCACTCTTTTTCACCTGAGTTCTTGTTTGCTGCGATGGCATGTGACCCTGCAGGAAGAAAGCAACCGAGGTGGGACACCTGCTGTGTTGTGCTGAAATGAATGGCTAAGACGGGACTGGAGGGTTGCAATAAGATTGCTGTAGGAACAGGAGGGAGACATTCATTTCACAGGTGCAGAGTGGTGTCAGTGCTGGTAAACATCTCATGCCTGGATGTGTGGGCAAAGTCTGCTCCTTATGTGTCCAGGCGGCATTTTCTCTTAGCTTTGTGTGCGTACAGGAAGTACATAGTGTGCCCAGTAGTGATGAATAATACAGAAATGATGACTAGGATGCCAAAGTGCTGTGGCTGTGGTGCGGAGATCACCATGATGAAGTGAAGCAGATCCATCAGGTAATTCATAGAGCTCTGCACCCCGTTCACCACACCCCTCTCTGACTCACAGATGTTCTCCTGCAGGAGCTGGGTCACTGTCAGGTCGAAGGACCAGAGACCTAAAACACAGATATCACTCGGGTTTAAAAGTTGAGCAAGCCATTTGCTAGAGCATAACCTATAGTTAATTAAACAGACATTGACATTTTTATAGGGATGCTTAAAGTCTAATTATTGAATGATGTAATTGTGGGGGATCCTGGTGGCTCAGTGGTATACGCCGCATGCCATATATTGATGTTGCCAGTCTACTGTCCACTATATAAGGTTAAAATTCCCCCAAACAACTGTTATTATCGACAAGATATGTATTAAATGGGACAGTTTACTGTTAACCAGTACATAACAGTGCTCTCTGGTGGATAGACAATGTAATTGCCATACTTTCTCAACTATCTTGAACAAGGCATATTCAGTCATAATAAGCTAGCATTGGCTAATACTATCTGCAATGCAATTGTAAATGGGCAAAGCTGTACAGTTAACGGTATTCCCATGTATTGTACATCAATACAAGATATGGAATCAATTTGGAGGCAATCATTTTGATAATATATTGACTAATTTAAACAATTTTACTCACCAATGCGTGCTGTTATGACACCCAAGAACAGAAGGATGATGGAGATGTAAGATTCTGGCACCGCATCAGAAGGGACGTTGTCAAAGAGCACAGTGTTGTTGGTCCAGTGGATGGAGGAGCGGTCTGGTAGCAGTGGTTGATTGCTTCCTCCTCTAAGAGCATAGGTGTGTTTTTGCCTTTGGCTGGCCATCCCTCCAAGGTCAGTGGAGGAGTTGGTGGTAATATAGGGCATCAGCAAACTAAGATCCATAGGGCTGCCCGGGGCAAACACAGAGCAAACACACAGCAGCAAGCAGCCCAGGTGGAGGCAGCTTGAGATGATGCCTGTGTTAACCAGACCATAGGACTTCCTGAGTCTAGTGAACATCACGGTGCCCATCAGCCCTGTGATAGCCGATACACCCATCAGCAGACTGAGGAGAGAGCCGCTTATGCCCTGAGTATACGCATAGCCGGTGGTGATGCAGTCAAAGCCCAGGACTGTGGTGTAGAGGAAAGCCAGACCCATTCCTGCCAGGAAGACAGGCTGGCGATAGTAGGCCTTCCAGCCGTCCTTGCAGGTGCTCACCAGCCAGCGAAACCTCTGGAAACACAACGGCAGGTTGGTGATTTCTTTTAGGTGCAGGCTCGAGTTGCAGTTACCTTCTGTCTGAGGTTGAGGTTGAGGCGGTGCAACAGTACTTTCCCCTGATGAAAAAAATAAATTTTAAAGCCTTGTTTGGTGTTCTGAACCCTTAATGCTCTATGTGATGTTAAACTCACATCAAATGCTGACTACAGGTCTACACCATAGACTGGTCTACACGTATCTGTACATGTAGGCCATATGGATTGTTGAATACTATATGGAAATATTTTGGCATAAATGTCACTACATCAGTATCTTTTTATGATGTCTAATCCTCCATTACGCCATAGAAGCATTAATGGGAAGCAACATTTACATTTGTGTATTTAAAAGCTCACTTAGCAAGTGAATGACTCCATGATGCTCACTGGCCTTAATTCACAATTTAGTAATCACATTACATTCTAATGGTAGTTAAAATCACAAATATATATATCTTCTTTTTTCTTTTTTAAATGACTCAATCCTTACCTTGTGACATTCTCTTCTCTGTCCTCTGCAAAAACACCTGATCCTCCTCCAGCACCGGGGGTTTGATTGAAAGAGCAGGGACGATGCGGTACACCCGTGACAAGAAGAAGAACTCCACAATGAGAGACACAAGGTTCCAGCCCAGGATGAAGCCACAGCCAACTACATTGGAGGCCAGGGTCATGACCTGTCCCACCGCTAGTGGGGCCAGGATGTTAGTCACCTGATCAATCCGCCTCATGGTTGCATTCATTCCTTTTGTCAGGATCAAAGACACAGAGGTTAATGCGCTTCCACTAGAGTAGAGGATGGTCACTGAGCAGAAAAAGGCAGACACCTCAGTGATTTAAGTTTTTCTGAAGCATAGCCACTGATATGTGACAAAAATGGAATGCAACAAATGTGCACTGACAGAAAACAAATCCCCTCACCAGCTAGGTGACCTCGGTTGTAGCCTGTGATAACCAGGATGATCACCACCCTATAACAAACCACCTTGTGTGAGTTTTGTGATGCAACATGTTACTAAGACAGCAAAGAGTAGCCACAAGCTCAGAAGCAGCGACAACAAGGACACAGGAGTCAGGACAGAGGGAGTAACAGCACCAATACCGGTTTGGTATCAAGTTATGAAATGAGTTTTTGAACATTTAGTGGGGCGCCGCCAGGGATTTGGGCCCCATGAAAA